CTCAAACAGCTGGGCGGCTGGAGTTGATAGTGTCAACTTCAAAGTGCACCCCCTCTCTTTGTCTTCTCTATTCCTGTCCCACAGGAGGAAGGAGGCATTCTAAACACGGCACTTCAGGCTGGCCAGGGGGCAGTGGCCCATTTCCTCTTGCCTTGTGCTGTCCTCCTGTGTGTGTTGGGTGGCTAGTTCCCAGCCCTGTCAGTGACACAGTCCTGTCACCCCATAATAGTTTAACTCTCAAATGCCTGTAAGTACTTTTTTGGTTTCCAGGGCGACTGGTTACAGTTCTGCAGGAGAACTCTGAGCTATCTTTTCCCTTGTAGCAATTGTTATTCCCTTTTCCCAGACACAGGAGGCTGGGCTAGTGGAAGCCTGTTGGAAATGTCCCACTGAAGCTATATGTTCCTGGGCCCCTTGTACTTGGGGGTGGGCGGCGGGGTGGGTGAATGCCTGCCTGCCTGCCACTGAATCCTCAATGATGGAGACTTGGGGTGTGTGTGTGGGTGTGTGTTTGCGTGTGTGTGTGTGTGTGTGTGTGGCTGCCACGGATCCCTCAATGATGGAGACTTGGGGGGGTGTTTATGTGTGGCTGTGTGTGGCTGCCACTGAACACTCAGTGGCACAGCATTGCTGTAACTTCGCTCATGTTTTCCATCAAGCTCAAGCCACCTACAGAAGATTCTGGATTTGATGTAAACACCTTCACCCACAGTAAGTGAAGCAGAGAAGAGAAGTTAAAAGCTTCCCTATGATGCAGCTTGAAAATGTTTTTGGAATAAAGAGGTTAAAACAAGTTTATTTGAGGGGGCGGCAACAAATTTTGAAATTTTTTAGTTTTTTTTTTCATAATAATGCATTTCCTTTGAATTTTTAGAAGAGTGCCTCAAAATTTGCAATTCTAATTAGAGACATTTTAGAGAAAACCCTCATCTTACACTGCCTTCAACAGATACGTTCATGTGATATTTTGATGAAACAATATTCTCAAACCTGAGAATATCATTTTAAACTAATTATTTCCAAGAAGAAATTGTCTCATCAGTAGCATTCTTTGATGATAAAGTCTGTATGCTTTTGAACCTGTAATCCTATAACACTTTTTTAATTCAAGTAGCACATGTATAACAGTAAAGATTAAACCCACTTAAGCCCAGATAGATTCCTGGGGTACACTTGAGGGTACACCTTGAATCCAGGTGCAAGGTTGCCAGTGGACAAATGGCTTCGTGCCCCACTCAGCTCAAGGGCTTGCCCCAGAAGGAAGGAAGCCCAAAGTTCTGCACTCTCGAAAGAGAATATGAGGGAGTTTTTAGGCACAATAGGGGAGTGGAGTACAGTTGTTATGCTTTGTCCTTGAGGGCTTTCCCAAGACCCCTCAGTGGATGGATGAAACCCTGGGTGGTACCAGACACTGTGTGTACAGTCATGTGTTGCTTGGTGATGGGAGTGCATTCTGAGAACTGTGCTATCAAGCAGTCTTCCTTGTTGTGCATACATCATGGAGTGAGACGGCCATTGTGATGCTAGGAGATGCAGTCTCCTGGGACCACAGTGAAGGGTATGTTCTAATCATTGACCACTGTGTCATTATGTGTCACATTGACCATACTGTATTTGGAAAAATAAAGTTTTACAAATTGGGCACAGCAAGAAGTTAAGAACATAAATAGAGAAGTTACATCAATATACTGCAATGAAAGTTACACGAATGTGGTCAGTCTCTCCCTGTCCTCCACTTCAGCCTTTTTCTCTCAAGAGTTGGGAGAAAGGTTAATATTTTGGGGACCATAGATAACTGATCAAGAGGCAACTGCCATAGAATTGTGCCCTAAAAAGTTCACAGAACATGGAATGTTTAAGTTTTATTTTGGTCCAAAATTTTTGAAATCATTGATATAGGGCATCTTCAGAAAGTCCGTAGAAAATATGTATTATGAAAAAACTATCCAAGATTTGACTCTGGCCTGCGTGGCAGGAGAAAGGTGCATGAGGAACCTGAATGCTTACAGGTGAGGTTGGTGTCAAAGACGGACAGCTGAAGCCCCGAGAGCAAGAGCACAGACCTCGGGGCTGGGAAGATGAGAATTTCAAAGTATTTATGATAGGACAGAGAGAATGCAAATCTGGAAGCTCTACCCCATACCTTTTATTATTTTACCAAGATGTCAGTGTGGAATGGATTAGCAGCATAAAGAGAAGGGTCCTTTTGCATATATATGTGTGTGTGTGTGTGTGTGTGTGTGTGTTATGACCGTTTCACATAAGTAGTTTATCCACATGGTCACCATGCAGGAAGTGTCTTGAGCCTCCGGTGGCATTGTCCTGTGGAGGTGTTTATCATGATGAGCAGTTTCGCTGTTCGTTTGTGAAATCAGCCAGCTGTGGGTACAGCAAAGCTGCCCATTATACAGGTGTTGTGTTAGGGTTCTTTTCCGGGTCCCAAATTTCAGCAGCAAAGGAGAGAGTGGGCAAGATGAGTGACACTCCATCATTTGTTACATCCCCTATCCTTGGGATTTTCATTTTTGTGGGTTTTGTCTTTCTAATCATTAGATCACCTAAAGGCTACCAGAACATTTTTATTAGAATGATTGTGTTTGTTCTTGTTTTCGTTTTTAAGACTAAGACCTATTTGTGTATTTAATGATGCTGAATTAATAATAAAAGCATAGCACTATTAACATAAGTAAATCAACTCTCTTTCTACCAGAAGGAGCTTTGATTAAAAACCGATGTCCTTCTGTGTGTAATTCAGCCCACGTGTGACTCCCACTGCCACCCCCACCCTAGCCCCAGTCAGTTGCCTAAGGGAAGACTCTTTGTTGGGGATATGCAGTGTCTGAAACATACACCTGAGCTCCCTGGGCAGGTGACTGACTGTAAGGCAGTTAGACTAGGTATAGTGTGGCTTGGGAACCTGGTTCCATGCTTTTCTTCCAACTCAGCCGTGCATGCGGCCTGCTTCGATTCTGCTTTGTCTTATCCTTGTGCTGTCTTTTCTCGTGAGGAACAGGCTCGTTCATGTTAGCTGCCTCCCTTGATGCTGAAAGTTGGTCCTACAGCACTGACTTTTGTTGTTTTGTTTTTGTAATTAGAAAGTCAGATATACAGAGGAGGAGAGACAGAGAGGAAGATCTTCCATCTGAAGGTTCATTCCCCAAGCAGCTGCAATAGCTGGAGCTGTGCTGATCTGAAGCCAGGAGCCTGGAGCCTCTTCCAGGTCTTCCACATGGGTGCAGGGTCCCAAGGCTTTGGGCCATCCTTGACTGCTTTTCTAGGCCACAAGGAGGGTGTTGGATGGGAATTGGGGCCATCAGGATTATAACCGGCTCCCACATGGGATCTGGGCATGAGCACTTTTGCTGCTAGGCTACTGTGTCGGACCTGAGTAGACTTGGTTTTAACTTTTCTGTTCTGCACAAAACACCAGTGCTCATTTGCAGCTTGGGCGTTGACTGCTGCTTTGGGGGACAATACTATCACGTTTTTTCCTGGGGTAGGTAGATGACAGAGGAGGTGATTCTGACTTTTCTTTTTGTTTAATTATCTACTTGAAAGACAGAGAGAGGGCCAGTGAGATCTTCCATCCACTAATTCACTCCTCAGGTAGCTATTATGGCCTGGGTTGGGCAAGACTGCAGCCAGGAGCTAGGAACTCCTACCTGGGTATCCCGCTTGGGTGGTAGGAACCCGAGTGCTAAGGCCATCTTCTGTTGCTTTACAGGCCTTCTGACTGGGCGCTGGATAGGAAGTGGAGCAGCCAGGACTCAAACAAGTGCTGCTGTGGGTTGCTGGTGTCTCAAGTGGTGTCTTTACCCACTGCACCACAACACTGACCCTGTAATTCTTTTTATTGCTCTAGCATTTATTGAAAGTGCATGCTTTGTGCCTGGGGTTTAGTTAGACTGTAGAGGCATATAAGAAAGCAGCCTCTGTCTTCAGAGAGACATCCATCAGATTTTCACAGAGCAGCATATTTGAGCAAATACTCACCAACTGGACTTGGGGCTGCAGAATGGCCTCTGGAGCCATTTCACAGAGTTTATAAAGTGTTGACACCTGAACAGCCTCTCCTTCCCCATCCCACCCCACCCTACCCCATCCCGGAAGTTCTGATTATGTGTATCTAAGGGTATGCATGGGCCTGGGGAGCTTTGAAAGTTTCCCAGGTGATTACAGTGTGCAGCCAAAGTGGGGAGCTACTAACAGCGTAGGGTTGGCCTTGAGCTTTGCTTTAGAGAACTGTTCCTGCCTCACTTGGGAGGTTAGAACTTTATCATCCTAGAATCCTAAACTTTTGAGGGGTGCCAGAATCTTGGGCATCCTGTACAGTGTTTACCTGAATTCTTTCTGACAGCAAGCAGGTGGGGCTGGGGTCTCCCAAGGAGACCTACTCCAAGGTTAGTGTTTGCTAGAAGTGGGTAGTTTTCTGTGCTCTGAGAAGCTGCAGGGATGGAAACTTTTTTAAAGCACAGGTTTACAACGGTTTCACTTGTGAACAGCTAGAGGAAGACTGTTGCCTTGTAAAATTGTCTTCCCACATTGCCAAGTAGACAATGTACTAACCAAAGTCTGATCTTGAATTAGCTTTGCGCTTTGGGTAGCACTGTTACCTTCCATGGTTCCTGACTTACTAGCTCGTAGGCTAAGTGATTTCCATCACAGGCATTGGAACCAGGCTGCTCCATCGCTTAGAAACTGTGTTGTTGGGTGAGATACTTATTTTCTATTGTCCTGACTCTTCAATGGACGTGCTTATGTGCTTATAAGTCTTTTTTACTATATGGGAGCCTGGGTACATCAGTGGCCTGCAGCAGGGCCCTCAGTCTCTTGTTATCATTGTTTTAAGCACTCGGCATGTTCACATTTTTTGCAGTATTTTGGGGGGGAACGTGAAGTGAAGCCCAACACCTTTAGGCGGGACAGGTGCCAATCAAGTCTCCCTAATGAGGGCTGACTGCATCCACCTTGCCTTTCCATCTGTGCTCCCAAGAGTACAGAACACGTTTTGCCGCAGTTTGCACGAGATGAACCCTTCTGATCCCAGCCCATCTCCTCAGGACTGCTCAGGGCCCCAGATGGCAACCATGAGACAGCTCTCAGATGCTGACAAGCTGCGCAAGGTCATCTGCGAGCTCCTGGAGACAGAGCGCACCTACGTGAAGGTACCTCTGCCCCCTCCCGCCCTCACCCCTCTGTGCTTGGTTACAGGGACCCTGTAGATGCCAGAGTGTATGGATGCTCAAGACCCTTACATAAAATGGCATGGTATGGCCCACACACATCCTCTTGTATGCTTTAAATCATCTTAGATGCCCTGCAGTTCCTAATGGAGTGTGCCTGCCACATACGTGTTTATTAATACTGTGGTGTTTGTGGAATAGTGGCAAAAGTCTGCATGTGTTTAGTATATGGGCACAGATTTTTTTTTTTCCGTCAAATACTTTGGATTCATGGTTGGTTGTATCCGGGCTGTGGGACCCACAGAGAGGGGATGCTGTACTGTTGTTTTTGCCTAACAAGAAAACAAGTTATGGGAATGAAAAATATCTTGCATTCTGAATGTAAAGATCTTTTGAGTTTTAAGGAATGATACCACCTAGAAAGCAATTTTGCTACACACTTAGGGGCTCCATTGTTAAGTATCTATATTTACAATATACTTATACATGTAGAAATTCATTGATGTGATTGTTGATTGAGATTTTAATTCTTCTGACTTTCTAAATTTATTGAGCTAAAGTTCAAGCTGGATTTGGTTTTGAGAAAAATGGAAGCTATTTGATCCATCATTTTCTCCAACTAGGCAGAAGGATGTCAGGTCTGTTTTCTGAGCGTTACTGCTTGTTGTCATTTGAGTTAGATTCCACATGTGGAAGTAATGAGCCGTTTTTAATTATCTCCTTTCACATTTTAGATCAGAGGTTAGTAAATTACGGCCTTCAGGCCAGACCAGCCTACAGCCTGCTTTTCCCTGTTAAAGTTGTTTTGGAAGGCAGCACACAGCACAGTGGTTCCTGTGTGTTATGGGTGCTGCTTCCACGTTGCAAGCTGCAGTGGTTGGGGCAGCGATTCCGTGGCCCTCAGAGCCCGTTATGTGATTGGCCAATTCCCACTTTGGCAGATTTTAGGGACCTATAATCTGTGTTTTCTCATTTAGATTCTTGATACACTTTTCAATGTGCTAATTAGGTGTCCTTTCAACCCCTAGGACTTAAACTGTCTCATGGAGCGATACCTGAAACCTCTTCAAAAAGAAACGTTTCTCACCCAGGATGAGGTATGGTGAACATTGTCTTTGTTTGCGGCCAGCGGGTCACACTGCAGTTCAGTTTGGTAGAGCGGGGCTGAAGCATTTTGTGTTTAATTGGGCGAAGGAGGGCCAGTCCCTGTCTGCTATGATTTGCTGTGTACTCACAGAGTAAGGGGCTGCCCTATCCTGCAGTGGGATCATCACCCTGATTCATCAATACATACAAATGAAGCTCCCAAGCAGTTAGCAAATACGGGATGGATTAATGCCTTTCTCATCTTCCAGCTTGATGTGCTCTTTGGAAACTTAACTGAAATGGTAGAGTTTCAAGTCGAATTCCTTAAGACGCTAGAAGATGGAGTGAGACTGGTCCCTGATTTGGAGAAGCTTGAGAGAGTTGACCAGTTTAAGGTGAGTCTTAACCACAGGTGAGCTACAGCCATCACCCAGCATCATGGGGGCGGGTTTCCGGTGAGTCAGGTTCAGGTCCCCGCAGGAACACTACAGCAGGCTTGTTTCTGTTTGGGAAGTTCTTATGCCCCGTGTTGACATCTTCTTTGGACAATGCAGGGGGTCGGGTAGTTCCCAAAGGAAGCCTGAGGGTAGAGGGCATGTGCCTCAACCTGTCATGCTGAGGGAAGGCCCTTGCAGTTGACTTGATTAAACTGCTTCATCAGCTGGGTTCTGCTTTGGAAGATGTACCAAACCTTCTCCTTTGGTTTATGAGGGCCTCTAATACAGTAACTATTAGCAAATTAGAATGGCACCCTAAGTAAACAAATTAAGTCATCCTGTTCTGGGAACCTTCCTTCAATGGAAATGCTTGTCATTATCCAGGAGAAGGACGGTCTTCCAGCACACAGTGTCCCTTGCAGCCTTAATGAGTATTGATGACTAGCGCCTTAGTAAGGATGCTTAAAGCTGGTTTCCTCTTCCTGGCTGGCGTTCTGTGATTGCACACATTTCCTGTGCTGCATCTCTGTTCACTAACACTCATTAATGCGGCTGTTGGCTGGTATGTCGACCGCTTTTTAATTTTTTTAATTAAGATTTTTTTTTAATCTGAAAGGTAAAGAGAGAAAGAAATTTTAGCATGTACCAGTTCATGTGGTCTGAGCCCCGTCATGTGGCTGTAATGGCTTGAGCTGGGCTAGGCTGAAGCCAGGAGCCAGGAACTCTGTCTTCTCTGTGGGTGGCAGGGGCTCATGTGCTCAGACCTTCCTCCGCTGCTCTCCCAGGTGCATTAGCTGTGTGTTTGATTGGAAGTGGAGCAGCCAGGACCTGAACTGGAGATTGGATATGGGATGCTGGCATCCTAGATAGTGGCTTAACTTGATTTGTCACAACGGCAGTCTCATACTTTTAATTTTCTAAAAATATTCTTATTAATAATTTATTAGAGAGACAGAGGCAGGATTTCCAACTGCCAGTTCTCAGTGCCAGGAACTCAGTCCAGGTCTCCTCTGTGGATGGCAAAGACTCAGCTCTTTGAGCATCACCTGCTACTCACAGGATGTACATGAGCAGGAAGCTAGAACTGGGACCAGAGCTGACACTGGAGCCTCGATGCTCAGATGTGGGATGCTGGAGTCTGGGCCACAGTATTATCCGCTAGAGTGCATTCCTACTTCATAGCTGCTTTTTAGAAACGGGATCATTTAGATATGCTGGCCTTACAGTACACTATGCACACTTGAAGTGTAGAAATGGATTCTCGCTCGCTCTCTGCTGTGAAACCATCACCACAATCAGGACAGTGAACGTAATCATCACCTTGAAAAGTCTTTTCCTCCTCTGTGATTTTTCCCTCTGGCTCTTACCACTTCCCACCCACAGGCAGCCATGCTCTGCTTTCTGTTACTATAAATATTTTCAAGGAAGTTTTGATAGACTCTTCCCTTAGAAATGGGGGTGGGGGCTCTCTGAAGTCCCTCAGAGGAGAAGCATTAGTGATCAAACCTGCCCCATTTGTACCGGCTGTATACTGAGATCAGCTTTTAAGGCCAGAAGGAGAAACAAACCCTGTAATATTTTATGTACATTTACTGTGTGATATATGTTGTCTAGAAGTGTCTAGAAAGTTTATTTATTGGAGAAGCTGGGAATGAGAGTTCCCTATGTGCTTGATCGCTTCTCAGATAATACAGTGGTTGGGGCTGAGCCAAGTCTAAATCCAGGAACACAGCCCAGGTCTCCCGTGAGAGTAGAAGAAACCCTGCGACTTGAACCGTTCATCACCCCTGCCTCCCAGGGTTCGTTCACAGAAAGGTGGAGATAGGAGTTGGAGCCAGAGCTGGAGCTGGAAACTGAAACCAGGAATTCCGACATGGACACAGGTGTCCTAGTCAGCATCTAACCTGTCTCTAGTGCTCAGTGAATGTTGAACAAATGAATCGCTGTAGTATGTGTTAAGGGAGAGCTACCTGGTAAAACATTTTTCCTCACGGTTTTTTTTGGTTTAATTCTTGAGTGTGGCTCAAAGGCTATCTTACATTAACTCAGAAAAAATTTCCCTAATCCAGAGGGCTGGTGAACAGGATTAGTTTAGTGCGGGGCCCATTTGGGGTATATATTTTAACAAAAATGTTTGTGTTTAGAAAGGATCCTGCTTCGGGCATACGAAAACCTCAAGGGGGTGGTTTTCCCACATTTTGCTGCTTCTAAGGGGCAGGGGATTCGGGCTGAGATAACGTGAGATTTGCACAGCTCGGAAGGTTTCTTTCTTGAATGTGTCTGATATTCTTATCTGCCCCTCCTGGAGGAGAGAGTGGTTTTGGAGAGAGTGGTGGTGGAGATCAGGGAAACGGGGTTTCTGTTTTGGGGTGGATGAGCATTTCCTGCCTTTGTGTGGTTAACTCACTTATCTCCCAGCAAGAACTGGTGAGACCATTCAGCAGATTTCCTCTCTCTTCCCAAAATATGTGAATGCTTCACAAAGTTCATGGAAAGTAGGATTAAAAGTTTATTTTGGTTCCCTTCTTTGCCCCAGCCCCTCAAAAAAAAAATCCCTGAAATTAAAAAAAGAAAATTTTCATGCATATAAGTTGTCTTCAAGAAAGCGCATGGAAAATGTGTATTCTGAAAAACTAGACATGCATCTCAAAAATTTTTAATTCACCATCAATAATTGTTTTAAATATTATTTATTTGAAAGGCAGAGTTAGAGAAAGAGAAGGAAGATCTTCTATTCACTGATAGCCAAATAGCCACAGCATCCTGGGCTGGGCTGGACCAAAGCCAGGAATCAGGAGATTCCTGTAAAGTCTCCCATGTGGGTAGCCGGGCCCAGTAACTTTGGCTGCCTTCCACTGCTTTTCCAGCTGCACTAACAGGGTGCTGGATGTGAAGTGGGGTAGTCAGTATATAAAACGGCATCCTCCTGGGATCCTAGCATCCCTGACAGTGTATTTTACGTGCTATGCCACAACACCAGCCCCAGTAAGCACTTTTGAATTTGTTTCCATGAATGTTTTGAAGTGCCCTTGGATATTTTGTATCACCATTTAAACATCCCAAATAGGCCATGCAAAAGCATGGTCATGGAAAACCAGAAGCTCCTGGGTTGTAAATATGGGTGTGACAAAATGCAACATTCATTAGGCTCGTTCATATGTCCCTGTGCTTGCCAGGAGTCAGTGTCAGAGCATCTTCAAGCAGTGACAGGTGTGTTTGATGCAAGTGTCTGGGAAGGGTCAGGTGGGTGTGAGCTCCCCTGCTGAATCCTGTTCATATTTCTGAATGAGGAAGCAAATGGACCAACTGTGCTCTTTTTCTCGTTCACTCCAGAAAGTGCTGTTCTCGCTGGGGGGATCCTTTCTGTATTACGCTGACCGCTTCAAGCTCTACAGTGCCTTCTGTGCCAGCCACACGAAAGTCCCCAAGGTCCTGGTGAAAGGTAAGGCATCTGAGGACTGGGAACAGGTAGATAATAAATTGTCAGTTCACTCTGTGTGGATAGATAAACCAAAAGTTGTGAATATGCTAGGTAGATGTTCTTATAAGCCACAGACAGGGGTACTCAGAAGCTAAATGCATCACTCTCTCGAATGAATAGTTTTATCCGCTTCCTCAGAATGAAGTATTTGACTCAGCTATTTTGGGTTGATAGGTCAAAAAATAAAGTTTTTTTGTTGTTATGTGGGTTTAGTACCATCTGGTCAAATTTTATCAGTGTAATCTTCTTTGCTAAATATATATATATTTAAATATTTCAGGTTTTATATATATAAGAATATATATAAACATATTCTTATATATATAAACATATATATTTATATATATAAACTTGGGTGGGGGTAGATAGAGATCTTAATCCACTGGTTTAGTACCCAAATGGCCATAATGGACAGAGCTTAGCCTGTCCAAACCAGGAAGCTCCTCTGTATCTCCCAGGTGGATGCAGGGACACAAGACCTTGAGACATCCTCTGCTGCTTTCCCAGGCCGTATAAGCAGAAATCTGGATGGGAAGTAGAACAGCTAGGACTGGAACCAGAACCCATATGGGCTGCTGACAGTCTAGACTGAGAATTAGCCTGCTTTTGCACTGTGGCGACCCCTCCATTGTGTGGGTGTGTTTTAATGTGTGAGGAGCTTTGGACTGACCCAGGTGTGGCCATTGTGATCGTTTGGGGAGAAAAGAAGTGAAAGGTGGAAGATCTCCATCCTCCTCTGGTTAGATGACGGGCCATTCTGAGAGGCTCCGGGAGTGACTGTGTTTCCACAGTGAAGCTTGTGGGGTCAGCTGTCGGTGAAAAGCTAATCTTACAGGAAGAAAAGAGTAGCATTGTGATTGATGGAGGCTGCGAAGCATGGGTGAGGAGGAGCACCGGAAGAGGCTGGTTGACAGACAGGAGGGAAGGTTCCAGGGTCAACAGCACAAGAGGATAACCACAGTTAATACTATGGCCTGTGTCACACAGCTGTAAGAGAGGATATTGAATGTGCCCAACTCAGATGATACACTTTGTAGGTGATGGATGTGCTGGTGACTGGTTGGATCACCCCTGGTGTGTCTGTGCCAAAGCATCATCCAAAACTCCAGGAATGTGTAGTTAATGATGTGTTCATTTTTAAAAACCCCTCTTCCACTGAACCAGCATATTTCCACATGTCAGGATAACTTGTAATAGGTATGCACTCTTGATTCCAATCAAGGAAGAACAAGAGATTCAAGAAACGTTTCCCTGGTAAACAGCCATGCCAATAGGAAGTTTGGCTTCAAAGAATCTCTGGAAATGAGCCCCCTGTTCCTTAACACTTCGCTGTGACTGCTAAGGAAACTGCTGCTCATCAAGTCTCTGGATATCCGAGTCACTGACATGCATTGGGGTGTGTGTGTTGCCAAGGAGAACTGCTTGGCTTAATTTAAAACATAATACAGGAAATGTTCGTAGCATGCAGGACTCTGATGGCAGCAGAGGCTGCCCAGTGTCAGATGTCGTGGTGGGGACTGCCTGCACCCCACAGTATAGTGCAACCCCCACAGTGAGAGGGGCCCAAGGTGACTGTCCTGCTGTTTGACCTGCACTGTGTTGTCACACGTGCACCATTGAACAGGTGGTGACTGTGTGTGTTGTTTCAAAGCTTGATTGAATGCTAATTATTATCAAATTGTTCAAGTATTTTAAAGCAGTTCACTTTGCAGTGAAATTATATACACATTACAATCCTTAGAGCAATTTGTATGATTTTTTTTTAATTGCTCAGAGTAAATTCTGTCTCTGTGGGTTTTTTTTTAATTCAGTAACATTAGTTTTTTTGCACCTAAAAGATATTTTAATATCTTCCAAAAATAATCTTTGAAACAGCAGATATGGCCCGCAATCTCCTAATGACCAAGTGTACCAAGAGGGTACTTAGGAACAATTTTAGAACAACAAAAGATATGTCTAATTTGTTTCAAAATCTTTTTACTGATTTGAACGACACCGACAAGAGATTTATATCCTCCTGATTTACTCTCCAAATGCCCAAAACAGCTGAGGCTTTCTGGGATGAAGCTAGGAGCCAAGAGCAAGGAATTCCATCTGGGTCTCCCAAGTGGATGGCTGGGACCGAGGCACTTGGACCAGCATCCTTTGCCTCCCAGTCACATTACCAGAAAGCTGGATTGAAAGTGGAGGCTGGATTTGATCCCGAGTATTCTGAGATGGAATACAAGTGTCACAAGTGGTGGCTTAGCACTCACTATAACACCTGCCCCTGTATGTGTACTCTTGGGTCAGCTGGACTGACTGTCCCCTCTCCTTCCAGTCTTTGCCCCGTCCCAGCATCCCCCTGCACCTGGAAGGCATTAGCCCGGTTTTCCTTATGATGCACTCATGGGCAGGCACCTGTCTTGCTTGTCTGAGCCCACCAAACTTCCTAGGGCTGTGTGTCAGCTCAGCTGGGACTGAGAGTGAGTGAGAGTGAGTCTGGTGAGCAAGGAGCTACATGAACTAGTGGCTAGCAGAGCTGCGCTAACCTAGAGCAGGATTCCTGCTAGCCCCACTCACCCAGCCAGGTCTCTGGTGATTTCCTGCCTTTTTCTGAAAGATAATTTACTAGCAGTGAAATGCTTGCTTTTTGGGAAAACCAGGCTGAGGGGTGTTCCACATGTTGATTTTATACCAGCCGCTCAGGGGTAGTGGCTAGTCTTGTACCAGTTGCCTAGAGGAGGGATACTACATGCCACATAGTTCCCAGCGGGGAAGTGCCAGCATAGATTGAGAGCCTGAGCAGCTGGAGGGGCTAGGCAGGTGGATGTGGACAGGAGGCTTCTTTGTGCCCCCTTTGGGGCTAAAAGGGGTGAAGCTGGGGAAACTTCAGCAACTCTGAATAATGTCAACAGGCTGTGACAGGTGCTGCATATGATGTGCAGTGGCCCTAGGGTGGCCTGGATAGGCAGAGACTCATGGAGGAGCTGGCCATGGGTGGGGGTACTCTGAATTGAACAGGTCCTTTCCTCAGTCTAGGAGGGCATTGTGCCCAGGTCAGGTCAGCCCCACAAATGAAGATATCACAAGGAAAATACCCTGGAAATTCAGTTATGTAGATTTTCCAAACTTAGTTGTCTTTTAATTCATCAACCGTCCTGTCTTCCCAACATAAATAATCCGACCACCAGGCCCTTCCTGTTGTCTCTCTGAGTGCCGCCCCCATTCCTCATTCTTTCTGCAGTCCGCTTTCTGCCCAGTCCCTTAAAAAGCCAGCTTGGGATAAGAGCAGGTGAAATGGCAAGGTGGAAGCCTCGGGGTATTCCACCCAGACAGCCTGTATTTAAACTCCCCAGCCAAGACTGACACCGCTTTCAAGGCGTTCCTGGATGCCCAGAACCCGAGGCAGCAGCACTCGTCCACCCTGGAGTCTTACCTCATCAAGCCCATCCAGAGGATCCTTAAGTACCCACTTCTGCTCAAGGAGCTGTTTGCGCTGACCGACGCTGAGAGCGAGGAGCACTACCACCTGGACGGTGAGCCTGGCCCTCGGCCCCCAGCTCTGCTCGGGCCTGTCTCTCCGAGCGCCTCTCAATAGCCCCTGCTTTCCCCACCTGTGCTCTTGCAGTGGCCATCAAGACCATGAACAAGGTTGCCAGCCACATCAACGAGATGCAGAAAATCCACGAAGAGTTTGGGGCTGTGTTTGACCAGCTGATCTCGGAACAGACTGGGGAGAAGAAAGAGGTATGGACAGCTGCCAGGAAAGCTGGATTTGACCTTGATTGGTCTTTATTCTTACCCTCTTTTCCTCTCTCTTTCTCTCTCTCCTTCCCTCCCTCTCCTCCTCTCTCCCTTCCTCTTTCCTTCCATTTCTTCCCTCCTTTCTTCTTTTCTTCCTTTTCCACCCCTTCTTCCTTCCTTCCATGATTTGTGAGTGGAATAGGTACAACGATAGTGTTCCCATTGATGGAAGTTTTGCCCTAATCCAAGGTGACCATGTAAATTCTCTGCCTTGGTGGTGTTATTTCTTAATGCAGGAAATGTGCATCTGATGCCAGCTTCTCCCTTGGAATATTTTATGTTAAGTGTGACAGTGACTGGGAGGGTTTCTCCTTCAAAGACCAAGGCCATATTCCCAGTACATAGAGGAATAGCTAGCATATTATAGGTTATCAGCAAATATTTGTGGAATGGACAGAAGTTCCAATGGACTCAGAATTGTTTTTTAAAAGGTTTATTTTTATTGGAAAGGCAGATTTATAGAGAAGGAGATACAGAGTGAAAGATCTTCCATCAGCTGGTTCACTTCCCAGGTGGCTGCTATCGCTGAAGGTGAGCTGATCCGAAGCCAGGAACCAGGAGCTTCTGCCTGGGTGCAGGGTCTCAAGGCTTTAGACCATCCTTGACTGCTTTCCCAGGCCACATGCAGGGAGCTGGAAGGGGAGTGGAGCAGCTAGGGCAGCAATGGGTGCAAGGCAAGGATTTAACCAGTAGGCTGTTGCACTGGTCCCCAGGATTCAGAGTTACCTTAAGTTGATTGAAAAGAAATTTACTAAAGTAGTGACAGAGATAGATTGACCCAACAAAGGCTTAGGGTGAACTACACAGTGTGCCTGTGTCTCGAAAAAGGGCCTCTTGTATGGGTGAAAATGCTGCTGATGGGAGATGGATCATAGGGCTGTGTCAGGCAGAAACTAACATTAGTGTCCGTACACTCACATCCTCCTAGGCTGCTCTACTCAGTTTTGCCTTCTACCACAACAAACCTGAAAGGTAACCTAAAGGATATTGGCAGGAAGTTTAGTCTGGACTGCTGTCTTCAGAGATCGGAAAGGTCATTGTTGGGTTTGTGAAGCAAAGCTAATTTCAGACGGCTAAAAGATGCTTTCAGAAAGAGCTGAAGTCATGATATAAAGGTATTAAAGTGAACACGTAATAGCAAGATTATTTTACTCACAGGACATTAAGGAACTCAGGTAAATGTTACAAGTGGCGTATGAAAAGTTAAAATTGTATATTTAATGATGGAGTAAAGAAATATTGAGATAGATTGTAAAGGGCAACAAACTTTCTGTAGTTGAACAAAATCCATTAGGCCAGCACCAAATTGCCAGGATTTGCATTCCTCTCTATTTCCTACGCCTTACAGAGTGGCAGAGGAGGCAGAGACAGTGTGCAGGAGCAGAATCTGATAACCTGGGAGTATCTGATGTGGACCATGTATGGTTTTCAATGAAAACACCATTTTCCCAGTCTACTTGATGAGTGATTTAATGTATGAAAAGGTAGGAAAGCTAAACAAAGGGAGTAACTCAGAATTTAGGTCTCCTATCCTATAAAACTTTTATAATATGAAAACAATTAAACATGTTCAAAAGAAAACTCTCATTGCAAAACATTCTTAAAATTGTGGTGTTTATTTTGGTTTTAAAATGTACATGTTTAAACAGTTATTTTGAAAGTAAATCTTTACTTTTAAAAATAGTAATTGGACATGAGTTTTTCATTTTAAACGTTTATGTAATTTCATTGTATGGCTGAGCAAAGCTTTACTTAATTTCTAACATAAGACAATTCTCTTAGTTTCATTTATTGTTATCTAATCAGTCGTACCAGCCATAATCACAAAATACCTTCCAGAAACTCCTGGATTTTAGTGTATTTAGTTTGACAGAAATGGAAACAATTTTCATGTTTTGTCGTAATTTATTGAATGCCAAATCAGTTTCTATATTTTAATAGCCTTAGCAGCAAATGGTGATAACGCATCATGATTTGCAAAGAACAGAAAAAAATTGAATGCGATTAGAGGCTTTCAAGGGAATATGACTTAGGAGAAAATGAAGGTTCTTTAGGATAAAATTTTGAAGACTTAGGTAAGAAATTGTTCCAGTGAGGAACAAAGGGATAAAATGCTGTATTTTCTATTGAGCTGAGATTGTGGAAAGAAAGATACAAGAAATGGAAAAGGAGCCACTTGACTGAGTGCAGTATTGAAGAGGAAGAAAATTGTATATTGCTATCTGGAGGTCCAAAGCCCAGAAATTCAGAGCTGGGGGAAAAATACCCAAGAGAACAACAAAAAGGATATCTTTCCGCAGAGTAAAAGGAACAAGCAGGAAATAGGCCCCAGTGGGAATGATTGCTCAAAGGGAATTGATTACTCAGAGAAGAATGACTCAAGTCTCATTTGATCATTTTTCTCTGCTGAGGAGAATGGTTTATCAAGCTGGAAAAGATGTAGTGCCCTCGATTGCACAAGAGGAAAATTCCAGAGAGGATAAATCTGGGGGAACATAGTTGGATCTGTGCCACTTCCTGCAGCAGCGTATTGGAACAGCCGTGAAGCTGCAAGCTGACAGCTGGCTACATGCACAAGCTCTACTCACCTCCTTATCTAAAAAAACTGTCATGTGTCTGGAGGAGGGAAATTCTTATACTTTCAAAACTGTACCATGGGACCTGGCATAGCCTAGTGGCTAATGTCCTCACCTTGCATGCACCGGGATCCCATATGGGTGCCAGTTCATGTCCCAGTGGCCCCGCTTCCCATCGAGCTCCCTGCTTGTGGCCTGGGAAAGTGACCAAGGATTGTCCAAAACCTTAGGACCCTGCACCTGTGTAGGACACCCGGAAGAGGCTCCTAGCTTCTGGTCAGCTCAGCTCCAGCCATTGGGACCGCCTGGGGAGTGAATTAACAGATAGAGGATCATCCTCTCTGTCTCTCCTCTCTGTATATCTGACTTTCCATTAGAAATAAATCCTTTTAAAAAATGTCATGGAAAATAATAATAACAATAAAAATACAAAAAATTTCATATGTCCTTTCGTGCAAATGTAATATCTTTATTATGTATTTGAAAGGCAGGCAGACAGAGATGAGCAGAGATCTTCCATCCATTTGACTTAATTCCCAAATGCCCACAAACAGCCTTGGCTTTGCCAGTCTGAAACTGGGAGTGAGGAATTTAATTCAGGTCTTCCACAAGGATGGCAGGAACCCAGCTACAGAAGCACCATCACTGCACTAGCAGGGTGCATGTTAGCAAGGAACAAATATTGGGAGTGGACCCCATCCTCACATCCAAGTACTGCAGTATTACAGACAAGCAATGTTTTAGCTGCTTGGCTCAATGCCCACCCCACAAGTTGTGAATAATTTTTGCAAAAGTCATCCTTGATCCTTGTATTACCTTTTCATGGCCTCAATCAGTGATACTCTAGGATGGATATATGAACAACTTGAAATAGAATCATTTATCCACATTCATTGCCAATAGGAGGTGTTTATTAAAATGACAACATTCCAGGGACAGAGGAATCTGAATTCTGTTTCCAGCCAACCTGCCTTGGGGTGTTTCTGAAGGCTAATATGTTCATGGAGATCAAAGCTGACAATGAAACCTTGTGTGATGTTTCTGGGTCTTGATACTGATTCCCCCTGTTTAACTCTGTATAGTTGGGCTGGGCCCCAAGAGCATACTTTTTGTCTAGGTTGGAGGAAGAAAGGGCCAAGAGAACATTTTCGCTTAAATGGTGGCAATGTGGAGGCTCAGGAGGGCTGCTGGGAGATGCTGCACATCACATGGCCGATGGTGGAAATGGGCCTAATTCTGTTGGAGAGAGCAGAGTTGGACTTTTAATCACCTTGGAAGACACATTTCCTGATGCTCTGCCACAGGGTTAATGCATGGAAATTTAAGTTATAAACATACTACTCTTCCATGTGAGTGTTCAGAGGCAGAAATGTATAGTTCTCTTAATTGATAATATTGTGTGGTTTTGGCCAAGCAGTTAATATGTACAAGTATAATATGATTGCTTATAAATTTTTATTTCCTGGATTTCCTGGCATTTGTGTACTTTTAAATCAATACATAAAAATGATACACATTTGTGGGGTATCATGTGACATTTTAATATATGTATATATTATATAAAATTCAAGTCAGGGTAAGCGTGTCTCTTTTACATGCATTCTTTATTATGAAAACCTTCAAAGTTCTTTCTAGTTTTCTTCAAACATACGGTACAATATTTACAGTTACCAGAAATACCCCGCAACTAACTAATTTGGCATCTGTTGGCCAACTATCTCCTGTTTCTTCCTCCTTCCTCTTAAATCCCCTCGGCATCTGGTAGCCACTGTCCTGTGTTTGCCTTTTCTGCAGTCGACTGCTCTTGATTCCACATACAAATGAAATCATGCAGTCTCTATTTTTCTGTGCCTGGCTTATTCCACTTAACATAATGTCCTATGTTTTGTTACCATATTGGTAGTAAACCATAGGACTTCGCCCTTTTTATGACTAAACAGTATCCTATCTTGTGTATATCCCACATTTTCTTTTGCCACCTCTCAGCTAGTGGATTCTAAAGTTGATTCTATTAAGAGCTTCTTTAACAGTCAGTCATACTGATCATAAGTAACTCAGCAGCAGTTATTATAGTAATCCCAATGAAAGGCAGCAATAGCACTGTTGTTTTCAGTCTGTATGGCACCTCAGCTCCAGCACTACAGGTGTTCTGGTGGCTTGAGAAAGGACCATACCAAGCAGCAGTGTGTCTTGTGAGAGACCCAGGTGGCTGCTGAAGCTGGAAACCCAGGCAGATGAGCAGCGGCATAAATCAGAGCTGCTATTCTGGAGAAGCTCAACTTCAAGTTTTTAGGCTTTGAAAAGGCTGCCTGGAGGAAGAAAGAATCAGGCTGGATTTTTGTGGCCCCAGGGATTCACAGTGAGAGACCATTTGCTGGTTGTATTAGAGAACCATTTGGAGAAAGAGCTTCCCAACCATTTTCTGAACTGTGACTATTGGAAAGTCGTGTCTTCTGACTTGTTTAGGCATTCTAGGCTGAGACTGGAAGATCGTCATATCTGTGATGAGCCTGCTGAGGGGCAAGCCTGCATAGCTTGGGCAGTAGGGTGAGAACAGCTGACGTGACTGGGAAGGGATGGATATGTGACTGCGTCCCACTTACTGTATGATTGTATCTGCTGGAGACGGGGCATGGGGAGGACCTTTCCTGGACCTTATAATTCACGTTGCTCATGCCTGCAGAGGAACCTGCTGTCCTTCTGTTGGCTATCCTCTCCCTCTTTTAAAACGAAATATAGTCCTCTTTAAAATGAATCACAGGAAAAGGAAATAATTTGATCCCATTGCTTTTCAGAAAGCCATATTCACCCATGGAACTATCTATGCTTTTCTGGAAAGGGCTGCGTTCACTCAGGCCCTTGGAAAATTATCTGTATGCGAACACAAGAAATTTCACATTTGTAGGTTGATTTTAGCAGATTTACTGCCCGTGAATTTGAGAGCCCTGGTTTTTATCTTTTTGCCATCCGTCAGCTTCTTGAAATTATGGTAGGATTTAAATCCTGCATGTTTCCTGGGAATACAGAGTACTTATTTTCCAAACAGGAAATTTCGTATGAATTAGAGGGCTTTTTCCACTAAAAATTCACCACTTTATTCTAGCTCAGACATCTCTAATGATTCTCCCAGTTACCATTAGAAAAGTTGTTTGATTTTATGATATCTTCAGACTATTAATTGATTTTTATTGAGACACTAACAATCCCTAGTCTTCTAAAATGGGATCTGGTTTTTTTTTTTACCTGTGTTTTAATTCATTTTCATTGAAAAAATATAATTGTACCAGTATTCTGTGACATAAAATGAAATTACTCTGATAGAAGACAAGTTGAAAATACCATAATAAGTTGAATATTCATTTAATGCCCTGCTGACAAACTCATCAGAAAGACCACAAATCTAACCGTTGTTAATTTGAAGGTGTCTGTCTTTACAGTGAGAAATACACTGTTGTGATCTGTATGTGCATGAATGTAAGCCTTACCTGACATGCTTGAGCAAAAATTTTTTTAAGAACAGTATTTCCGTGAAGTAAAATGTATGCCAGCCTGCTGGATTTTAAAACATCACAAGGACCTGATCACATGGTGCAATGAGTTTATTCCACCTCTCTTTTCAGGTTGCAGATCTGAGCATGGGTGACCTCCTCTTGCATACCACTGTGATCTGGCTGAACCCTCCTGCCTCTCTGGGGAAGTGGAAAAAGGAGCCTGAATTGGCCGCCTTTGGTATGTAGCAAGGAGTGCTTTGAAGAGGGGTGGCGTGGTGATGACTCATTTCTCAGGCCCAAGGTATTATAATAAAGCTAGAGGCCATTGCCTGAATCGCTGCTCTAGCCACCAGTATGTTACAAGCAGTGCATTAAACCTTAACAGCAGTATTGGCGCGTAGAGGAGGCAGTGCCCAAGACCCCTCCCAGGAATAAACAGAATTTATGCCTTGCAGGTAAAGAACTTCCCAGCCTCCACCCCACTTCTCTCCCTCCCTTGCTCTCTCCTCTCTCCCCTTCTCTTCCCTCTGTCCCTCTCTACTCCCTCTTTCCCTTTTTCCTTCCCCTTTGCTTCTCTCTCCATCTCTGTTGTCCTGAGCATCTTTCCAAACCAACAAGGTCAGTAGTGAACCAAGCAAAATTAAGATGAGAAACCAAGCAAAACTGTCCCTGTTTCTGAGAGCCCAAATCTCTTCCTGTGCCTGCTTGGCTGCTGTGTGCAGTACTGGGGTGGGAGGAGACTGGTTCTCGGCTCAGCTCCCAGAGTGACTCCTGGTGTCTGGACCAGTGAGTGGCGAGCTATATCTCAGAACTAATGCTGGTAGAAGAAGAAAAGTTTGTGAATGCTGTGTGTTTTGCTCAGCTGGTTCTGATGGGTGCAGTAGCTGCAGTGACACATATCACGTGATGATTCTGTGAGATGTGTTTTATGAGAGCGCAAACCCATGTGTTAATGCACTGGGAATTGTGCATAGATCTGGAAGTATGGCTGTGGTTGCAGGGTAAATGCATTCTGCATCATTGTTCCTGAGCCCAGAGTGATCAGCTGTCTGTACTTTGGGGTTTTGTTCCTTTTTTTTTTCACTCTAGCCCCACCTGGAAGATTCATGGACAGGTTGACTGTTCTCTTACTTACATTTTTGGGGCCTTGGGAGGAGGGAGATGACTCAGTACATCTTTAACTAGATTTCTTCCCCCTCCTTCTGTGATCTGAAGCAGTTTTCCCAAATGGAGTATGTGGGGGATATTAAAGTCAGTGTTTAATACAAAGATTTATTGTACTGCCTACTTAGGTTACTTTGTTTTTGATCAAAGCTCAGTGATATTCCTAAAATTTTCTAATGAGCCATTTCATGGACGATAACAAAGGAGGGGCTAGTGTCTGGTGCAATGGTTAAGATACTACATTGATCCCCAAATCAGAGGACCTGGGTACTGGTCTAGGCCTTGCTTCTGACTCCAGCCTCCTGCTGTATGTGCATCCTTGGAAGTGAGCAGATAATGCTTCAAAGTGCTGGGGTCCTCGCCTCCCGCCTGGGAGACCAAGATTGAGCTCCAGCTTCTGGCTTTGACTCGGCTCAGCCCTGGCTGTTGCAGGATTTGGGGAAGTGGATCAGCAACTGAAAGAGCTCTCTCTGTCTCTCTGCCTTGCAAGTAAATAAAAATAAATGATAACTTTTAAAAGGAGCATGCACATGTACTGGTCAGACAAGGAGTACTATGCATTTTAACAAGATGTTGGTGTTGGATGGAGTAGGTGTTTTGGAATGAACATTTGCTTTCTTTTTACCATCACTGCCTGTGTTTCTCATGGTGTGCTTTCTTCCTGAGAAGTCTGGGGTCTCTGATGATGCTTAGTGGGTCGTTTGTGGGAATAACCCATTCCAGAGCAAATGGCTCACTTCATCTCTACCTGTTCTTAATGTTGGGCTACAGCCCAGCAATTTCAGAGTTAAAACTTTGGAGTTTTCATGACATGTCCCCGAAAGGTTACAGATTGCCTGCAGTTGGGAATAAACAGAAAATAAGTGAAAAGAAAATAATTTGTATGTGAGAAAGTGAGAGTTGGCAAAAGCCTTTTCCCAAGGAAGGGCTCCAGACAGAGAGGCCATGTTTTTTGTCACTATAGCCAAACACAAATGTAAGGGAGAAATAAGAGGCTGCCGTGTTAACAGGTGGGCAGGCAGGCCTGGATTTGGCCAGAGAACCTGGTTTGCCAACCAGTGGTAGAAATGTTTTTGCAACGATTGCAGAGTTGAGGTTTTCTGTTGTGGTGGACTCTGTGTTATAAGGACAGGTGAGTGTGGCTGACTGCAGGAAACAAACCTGACACCTGTCCAGATTGTGAGTGGATGCTGTGTCCCTCACACACCCTGCTGACAGCTGACTCAGTAAGAGCCATAGTTACCAGGCTGGAAATTGTAGAACTTGCTGATAAGAGGCCAGCTTGTCATGACTCAGAATCCTTCCTGAGTAGCAGTAATGAGAGAGAAGGATGACATCGGGGTTGTGAACAGCTGTCTTAGTCCTTATAATGAGTTTATTCATAGAAAATCTTCAATGAGGCCATTGAAGGTAACAGGTTGTTTGGTTTGGGTGTGATTTTAAGCAGCAAGGCAGAGCTAACAGAGCCGGAGTCCTGTGAAGAGTGTAGGGTAATTGCCATCGATCAGGCAGCTTTCAAGCTTATTCGTTTTGGTGTAAGCCTCTGATCACAGGAAGCGCAATTTCTTCTGAACCTGAGGCTGACTCAGTGTCAACCCAGGACCTTGAGGGGTCACTCACAGGGTGGCCGGTGTGCACTCTGAGTTGATAATCTTGACTTTAAGAACAAGAGGAAAGGAGAAACCAGAATGGTTCGTCCAGCCTTCTGCCAAAATGGGTATTTGTATGTTGGGTGTGCTCCTTGGGGGGCATGGAGAGGGCACTTGAGGGTGGCAAGGCTGGCAGAAGTGTTGGGGAGCAGGATCTTGCCTATGGATTGAGCCACACCCCAAAGTCAATTAAAGGACAGATAAATGCATTGTAAGCTCAGGTGTGTATACCAGGCTGAGGCTCCTTTCTGGTCTCTCCCATGAGCCAGGGTGGAGGGAAACTGTGACAGGCATGCCATTGTGGATGAGGTCCCCAGTATTGGATCTTCTAGGTCCTCTGTCCTGGCCCAGAACCCTCTCACATTTCAAGACACCTTGCTGTGCTGGCCTTTGGTTTCTGGATGCCTTGTGGTGGGAGTTGAGGAGCACCAGGGCTTGCTCGGCCTCTGCACAGCCTGGTGTGAGCCTCTGAAAGGAAAGCTGCTGGTATGTCTCCAGGATTCCTGAGCCATCAGATGCTGTGGGGGCTGAAGGGCTCAGGGCAGTCCAGACCCAAGTGACTGCATCTCAGGACTTATGTGGAAATCAGGTAGATCAGATGTCCTGAATGAAAACATGAACCAGATACTTGGCTCTGGTCTTCAGAGGCCAGGCAGCCTGGTGGTCCAGCCCTGGGAGTCCTTTGAACATCTGTTCCCTCTGTGACTTAGTAAATGGCCCCACATACGCTAGCCTGTAGCTCTCCAGCTGCTGTATAACTTGGCCATTCCTCGGGGTTAAAACATGGAGGAATGTGGTGAGTGTCACAGGATGTTCAGTCAGCTGTAAACTGAGTGTCTCGTAGTCAGTGGAAGTTTGCTACAACTGTTTGGGAAACCCACAATCCTACTTTCATGTACTCCAAATGTAAAGGGAGCAGGGTCTGTCTCCTGGATGCTTATCTCATTCACAAGAGAAGATCCCCTCCTGAGTACTCCATCTTATTCTTCTTTAAAGGTTTGTTTTATTTATTTGAAAGGCTGAGTTACAGGGACAGGCAGAGATCTTGCATTTGTTGATTCACTCTCCAAATGGTCCCAGTGACCCAAGTCGAGCCTGTCCAGAGCCAGGAACTTTTCCCTTAGGGCCAGTGGGCTGGATATGGTAGAGACCCTGATATGGAGAAGCAAGGAGGGCCTGGAGTCCCCCTTCCCTTTCTTCTGGATGCCAACTCCTCTTGCATCTTCAAGAGCAGTCAGAATTGCTGCGTGTTAAGCATGCTTGGCATTGCTTGTAGAATTCCCGTGTATCTCTGCATCTACTGAGAGAAGGGCAGGATAATTCCACATGTAATTTACTCCTAAAGAGCTTACTATGGTTCCATCTGTTTGGAAAAAAAATGCACTGCATTCTATTTTGTAAAGTCATTCTCATTGTTGTTAGTCAAAAAGATGGATATATTTTCTGAATTATGATCTCTGTGTGTATGTATCCCTGGAAGCTTGGTTTTTATAGGTGTTAGTCATCCCAGTCAATTGTACTATTATTCCTCAAATCATGAAATTAATACATTGTTAAAGATTTACTTATTTTTCCCAGTTATATAGATTTACAAACACAAGAGATCAATGGAATTAGTACATTTTTTATGCAATAAACATCAGCTGAAGTTTTATCTTGAGATGATGTCATATGCAAAATACTGTATTTTACTCAAAAATTTCAGTGAGGAAAAGTTCTTTCCATTGTGTGTAGGCTTTCTATGTTTATTCTGAACCTGGAAAGTTTGTCTGGGTAATTTCCTGAATTTCAGCATGGTAATGAATGAGTGGCAGGGGGAGGGTAGCCATTACTTCCTGTGGTCTTGTGTTCTTACCACTTTGTGTTTTGTTGTGAAGGGGAGAAACCCATGCATTGCCTGACTGTATTTTATTCTATTTTCCCCAGTCTTCAAAACTGCTGTGGTCCTTGTGTATAAAGATGGTTCCAAACAGAAGAAGAAGTTGGTAAGATGTCTTCTGTTATCCCATGGGTCAAAAGTATCTCTTGTCTCTGCTTCCCAGTTGTGTCTTTGCAGAACCAACCTTTGTTTCATTTCTTCTTTGAGTTCCTGAGGGCTTTGGAAGAGATGTGTCCTGCTTCTTTCAGGCACGCTCGTGTTTAGGGCATGGACATAAATAACAATGTTCTTCCTTGGGTCTACTGCCCTGTTCTTGGCTTGAGTCCCTTGTCTTTCTGTCACCTTTGCTTGACTCAGTCTTATTTGTACCCTCAACATCTGCATTACGCAACCTCTTCTGCAAGACGGGCAGACACACTGAGGGGTGAAGATCGTCTGGGTCTGCCCTGGGATTTCTTGGGTATGAGAGTACAGGAGGTGGTATTGAGGGGTGAGGTTGTTTGTAACAGCGTGTTCCTTCTCTTATACAGGTGGGATCTCACAGGCTTTCCATTTATGAGGAGTGGGACCCCTTCCGATTCCGACACATGATTCCCACTGAAGCTCTTCAGGTTCGAGCATTGGCAAGTGCAGGTAAACTCTGCTATGTGCTGGATGTGTGCTTGCGATGCGTGTGTGAATCCACAGCCTTCATCCCACCACCCTACCTTCTTTGTTTCTTCTAAGCTTAAGTCTTGTTCCCCTCATTCCTCCACATTATCTCTCATTTACCCAGCCATTTACTGAATTTTAAATGAATGAAAGAATACATTGATATGGTGGATGTATGATGTCTTCAGAAAAACTCCAGAAATTTCTTGTTCTACTGGCTATGTTAATAATGTGACAGTGACTCACATCCAGGTCAGAACAGGCACACAGAGCCCATGTAAATTACTTGCTCATCTTTGATTCCTGAGACCCAGAGACTGCCAAAAGCGCACGCACACACACACACACACACACCCCACACCTGCAGGAAGGAATTACACTAGTCCAAGTTAAAAGCAGACCCTAAATGGTTACATTACACATGCTGTGAGATTGTTTAAGCTGGTGACAAGGGACAGAAGGGCAATCCTACTCAACAAGAAGAAATCCACACTTAGACTTCTGTGCGGAAGCCCTTCAAACCTGTGACTAGTCATTCTTCACCAGTCTGGACTTTACCAGGACTTGGCACGTGTTCTTGGGCTGTGTACTCTGTAGCAGAATTTTCCATGTTCTGGATGCTCAATTACAGCGCTATTGCAGGCAAGTTTCTTCCTAAATGTCTTCACTGGTTTATTCTTATCATCATTGATTCCCTTGGACAGTCATACAGTCTTCCTGCCTATTCTGTATTGACTTCTTAGATGGATTTAACCCTGGTGCAGCAGGAGCAGGTCATCACCCTTATTTGCATCAGCAAAGGACTTGCAAGGGTGGAGGATCTCAGTGAAGGACATAGGACACAGGGCAGGATCCCTCTTCTTAAATGGAAAAGGCCTGAGAAAGGCATTACAGGAGAGGGCGGGGAAGAGGGCTGAGGAAGTCTGGGCAGGAGAAGCTAGGGGGGACAGGGAGTTGGGGAGATGTCCGGAAGTAAGGGGGCTCATGGGGAAGGCTGCCGAATCTTTTGCAGTGGCTCAGTGACTGGGCAAAACAAGGTATCTGTGACTATGAAATCAAACTGTCATCATGGGGCTTAATTGGAGGTCAGATTCTAAGAGGAAGAATCACCATGTCACTATTCACTGAAATTTAGGGGAAATTTTTCAGCCACACCTGTTCCCTGTCCCACTGATGTACAGCTTTAGGTAGTAAAAGAAAAATGCCCCAAAGTGGATAGCTGCTGGTGCCTGATAACTATTTCTGTCTGCTGCTTCAAGATGTCCAAGATGGGCGTTAAGGCTTTTGTCACCTCCAGATCTGATACTCAGGAAGTAACTCACCTTAGTCCACTGTCATGACAGGAAACCACAATTATTTTCCCAAAATTCAACGAAGTACATCTTCCTTCACAGTTACTATGCTTTGGAGTTGGAAAACTTCAATGCAAAAAGCCATGCAGAGTATATTTGGCCTATTTATTTGCCTTAGGAAGGTTTCTTTCTGAGCTTCTAGCATAGTGATTTATCCCAATGCCCTTTTGTGATTTGACTTGTGAAGTTGAGTTACAGGTGAATTTACATGACGTTACAAATTACAGGTATAGCATGACTACAGTAGCATCGGGAGGTTTGGACACTGACATGCTGAAATTCTGAGCTTACCAGTCACCTGGGGGTTTTGTTTGTTTTCTATGCCAGGCTTATAAATGGGAAAGCTCATTTCTATAATAAATCGTGTGTTTCTTAACTAAGAATTTTGCCTCCATCAAGGACTAAATTTTGAAAACAAAGTCATGTTTATGATGTGGCATTCCATTCTCACTCTGTTTTTCATTCACATCCAATTTGAAAGAAGATTCAGTTTAAGAAGAAAACCTACTTGAATTAGTCAAAGACCAGTCAAGATGTCCCTCATTATGAAACACGTTCCAGTGAATTTGGGAATCAGAACCTGGAATTTCTAGATTTGTATCTTAGTTTGGGAAAGTTTGTGAAATTTGTTGCCAATGATTGTGGTTGGGTTTAAATAATATATCCGCATTGTTTGTACCAATTCTGAATCATAGGATAAGACGGAGAGCTCACAGTGTGTGGCTTTAATGTCTGTGGTGGATTGTTCCTTTCACAAGCACTTCATTCAGACCTTAAAATAACTTGGTGTTGTAGCATTGCAGAGTTTACAAATCACAGCTGTGCCTCTCAGTATCCATGAGCATGAGCTCAAAGACTCCCACAATTGAACATACCTGAGTCCCTTATATAAGATAGTGCAATATGCACATGGAGCCTACACGCATCGTCCTATGTACTTTGACGCATCTGTGCACTGCTTAAAGCATCACACACAGTGTAAAGGCTAGGTGAATAGTTGTGGTGTTGTTTAGGGAACAGTGAGAAGGAAAGAGCCTCTTCTATCTGGTTTGGTTTTGCCATGAATGTGGAGTGTTCCAACACTGAGGGCTGTGTGTAAGCACAGCACTTCCTCACTTCGCCTTCCCTCCCAGTAGGCAAGCAGAAGGAAGTGGTGCCCATTAGGTCCCAGGGCTTTTCCAGAATGGTTTCCCTCACCGTCTAGCTGAAATCTGCAGTGGAGTCTGGAGCTCTGTTTGAGCCAGCTGGTGCCAGACAACTTGTGGTTAATGCAGTAGCTCTGTCAAATGAGCCATGCTGAAAGGGTGAGTTTCCCAGTTAGCATGATTGACTGATTGGCTTTCTTGACCTTCAAGAAGGAGGTTTTAGCAACTGGAGAAGGTCCAAGTGTTCTTTTCATAGCACCAATGAAACTGTAAGTCACTTAACCTCTTCAGATCAGGAACAGGAATGAGCTGTCGCTGGGCCTGTGCACTCTGCCTCATTTACTCTTACATCAAAGCATGGCAAAACATTTTTGTGAGAATGCAAATAATTTCATTTGAAACATAACCTCATTCATCCTTGTCTTTATTTCTCTAGATGCCGAGGCAAACTCCGTGTGTGAAATTGTCCATGTGAAATCTGAGTCTGAAGGGAGACCAGAGCGTGTCTTCCACCTCTGCTGCAGGTGAGCCTGGGCTGTGAGCCCTGGGCTGCCCAACCCCAGGACCGTCCTCTAGCCCCAGGGGCATCCTACGGCTCTGTAATGCAACTGGTACATTTGAGAAATTAACTCTTATGCGATGACAGTAATAGCAGAAATGAGACTGATCTTACTAATATAGTCAGTAGGTAGGTTAATACCCTGTTTTTAAGGTTATTTCTTTTTATTGCAAAGTCAGATACACAGAGAGGAGGAGAGACAGAGAGGAAGGTCCTTCATTCGCTGATTCAATCCCCAAGAGGCAGCAACAGCCGGAGCCAAGCCATTCTGAAGCCAGGAGCCTGGAGCCGCTTCCTGGTCTCCCACACGGGTACAGGGTCCCAAGGCCCTGGGCCATCTTCGACTACTTTCCCAGGCCACAAGCAGGGAGCTGGATGGGAAGCAGAACCACCTGGATTAGAACTGGCATCCATATGGGATCTCAGTATGTGCAAGGCAAGGACTTATGCTGCTAGAATACCGGCCGGACCCACCTTTCTTTTTTAATTTGAGAGGCAGAGAGAAGAGAGAGACAGGCCAACACACATATACACACCACCTGCTGATTACTTTCCAAGGATCTGCAACCAGGAGTATAGTCCAAGTCCCCCCTTATCTGAGCTCTCAGTAGCCTCCTCTCCTGTATTGTCGGCAAGCTGGAGTCAGGAATCAGAGTTAGACACAGAAACCAGTCAGATGTAGGCTATAGGCATCACTAATAGAGGACGTAAACATTGGGCCAAGCACCTGCACATCTGTAAGATGAAATGATTTTTCAAAAATATTAAATGAAGCATTAATGCCCATATTTACCTTTTGTACATTACAAGCACTTGATTGTTCTCTTTTAAAAGATTTATTTGTTTTTATTGGAAAGGCAGGCCCAAATAGCCACAGTTGCTGGAGCTGTGCTGATCCAAAGGCAGAAGACAGGAGCCTCTTCCTGGTCTCCCATGTGGGTGTAGGGTCCTCAGGCTTTGGGCCATCCTCAACTGCTTTCCCAGGCCACAAGCAGGGAGCTGGATGAGAAGTGGAGCAATTGGGACAGGAATTGGTGCCCATGTGGGACTCAGGCACTTACAAGGGGAGCATTAGCCAATGGAGCCATTGTGTCTGGCCTTGTGTTTTTTTGTTTTTTTTTAGCATACTGTGTTTTGATATTTGGTATGTTGTTGGTTCTATGCCATCACAAGGTGCAGCAGGTCAGCTGGCGAGGGTGATGGTATGTGACGGCTGTACCAGGATTTCCCATCATTGTCAAAAAAACTTCAGCACAGTAACACTGCCCTGATCGATCACCTAAGGACTAAAAGCAGAAGCCAGACTGTTTTTTGTTTGTTTGTTTTTTCTTCCTTTATACCTCATTTCCTTGCTTTCTTCTTCCTGTCCACTACCTCCTCCTCTATGAGAATTTGAGGTGATCTGCTCTAGGTAGCCATTTTTCTTGACAGGATCAGGACGGATGTTCTGACAGATAATGATGTTCTGATAGAGTTGGCTTTCAATATGACCTATGTTGTTAATCATTCAGTTATAGACACTCAACAATTTATTGGCGAATAATTATACAGTACTCTATGGAGTGAATAGTGGTGTACTATGATTCACTCTCAGAAAACAATAGACTTGATCTATGATGACCAGTAATGATGCTTTATAATATTATAAATATGTAATATAATATGTGATATTGTATATGTAATATAATATTATCATATGTAAAGTATAGTTCTTCAACAAGAACTGTGCTAAGTAGACACTGATTCATTGATTTGATCCAATGAAGGTACAATTCCTAACCCAGGCTCATAGAGGCTTCCTGGACCTTCGAACACTATCCAGAAGTAGGTATGTTCACTTCAAAACCCGTGTTTGGTATAGCTTCCCTGCCTTTCCTACTGGATAACAGGGTCCACAAAGGAGAGTTCCCGGAATACTGTCAGGACCGGGAGTGCAAAGTTCTTGAAGTAACCCACTCAGTGTTCAATCATCCTCGCCGTGCATTTTGGTCAGTCCCGCTACGATTTTGTTAGTGCAGCCCGTGGGTTCAGTGAACTAGCCCCCGGAGATGCCATGTGCCCTGTCCATGAGGCTGTCAGGTGCAAGTAACCTGTGTAAGAACATTGAGAACTTGATAAGTAAAGTAACTCTTTGGGGTGGCACAATGGCTCAATTGCCTAATCCTCTGCAAGTGCCAGCATCCCATATGGGCGCTGGTTCATGTTCCAGCTGCTCCATTTCCCATCTAGCTCCCTGTTTGTGGCCTGGAAAAGTACTGGAGTATGTCTCAAAGCCTTGGGACCCTGCACCCACGTGGGAAACCCGAGGGGATGCCTGGCTCCTGTTTCACATCAGCTCAGCTCCAGCCATGACATCCATTTGGGAAGTGAACCAGCGGATGTAAGATCTTTGTTCCTGTCTTTCCTCCTCTGTGTAAATCTGTGTTTCCAATAAAAATAATATTTTTTTAAAACAACTCTTGCTTAGGAAGTGCCTTTTTGCCTTGGGAATTAGGAGAGAGGACAGTGCTTAAGGAAGGTGAAGACATTGGGACATAGTCTTTGGGTACCTGACTGAGCCACAAGAATCCTGTGGTTCATTTATTCTCAAAAAAACTTCTTAGTGACTTAAAATCTCTGCCTTAAGTGCCAGGAGCAGAAACTGTAAGCCTCTTGGTTCAAAGCCCCTGTTTTCATTTCTTTAGTTATTGTTTAAAGGCCCCCTCCACCCCCGCATTCGGGGAAGGGAGAGCATGTTCTTGGTCCGAGCTACGATAGCATGGGTCGGCACAGGAAGCGGAGTCAGGACCTTCGTGTTTAACCCCTGGCCCGCAGCTGCCCCAGAGGTCACAGGAGCTCACCGAGTCCCTGACTCATGTCCATCTTCTCTTCACAGCTCCCCAGAGAGCCGGAAGGACTTCCTGAAGGCTGTGCATTCGATTCTGCGTGATAAGCACAGAAGACAGCTCCTCAAAACGGAAAGCCTTCCCTCCTCCCAGCAATATGTCCCTTTCGGAGGAAAAAGATTGTGTGCGCTGAAAGGGGCCAGGCCAGCCATGAGCAGGGCAGGTACTGTGGGCATTCAGACACTCAGGATCCCCGTGACTCCCACTCTGCAGTAGAACTCGAGTGAGCATCATCTTCTTGTTGAGCAAGTTAGGCGTGGCCTTGTGGGGGTGAACACGGAAGCGCCATTCTTTCCTTGCGTCCTCCCCAGAGGAGCCCATCCTTCATTTACTTCTCTTTCCCTCCCTCACGCCTTCCCTTCGCTGCCTTCCTCCTTTTGGCTGGTGAGCTTCTTTCTCATTTGCCAAGCCAGGAAGCCAAATGCATCCTCTTTCCAGAGGGGCTGTCTTAGCTTGCTTGCGGAATGAGAGTCACTGCTTTGCATGACAGCCAGCTTGTGTAGCAAAAGGCAGTGTGTCGTGTCTTGGCAAGGTCGCTGGCAGCACAGCAATGCTTGTTTTAGGTAAGGAGGCCAGTTGGGTAGACCAGATGACGCAATTTTTTTTTTTTCTGCTTTTGCCTTTTTTTAGTCTTAGTGTTAATCTGAGGGAGCTTTGAGCTGCTGTTGCAAAAGAAGAATCTAGAGTTAAAATGGTTCCAGAGTAGATACATTTATAGGACATATTCTGTTACTTTGGAGCATTAAAATAGGAAGATCAATAAAGTCATCCTGAAATGGCAGCAAAATGTATGGAGGAAGAAAGATACTTGCACACTCATTTAAGGTACTCAGTGACACCCAGATAGCAAAATTGTTATCACTCCTTTCTTCAGAGGAAACCCAGGATTTTTCAGGGAGAATTGCAATAAATGAGGCTTCCTTTGCATTTGGAAAAAAAAAATCCACCTACCTTTGTCCCAATTGCCCTTGCACCTGTTCTCAGCTGTGTTGAAGAGGCATGGATAGAACTGTGACTAGACAAAAGTTGTCGTAGACATAGCCTAGCTAGCTTGATATGAGATATAGTGTACTTTAAACACCTTTAGTTTAAACTGCTGTGGGGGAGGGAGAGTTTCTTCGATCTCCAGCCAGTTGAAAGGTATCCAGTGATGGCCATGTGCAGTGATGGCCGTGTCCAGTGATGGCCGTGTCCAGTGATGGCCAGCACTTTGTGTTGGGTTCTCCAGGGTATCTAAGGAGTTCCCCTTCATGGCCACAGTTTCTTTTTATCCTTTGTAATCACTGTAGGAAATTTTATCTTAACATTGTCACACCTGCCCCTCCTGCTTTCCATGGAATGTTTACTGAGGATTGGAAAATTGTGTCCTAACCTGTCATTGCCCAGGTTTTAGTTGTCAGTCAAATTCAGGACTGTATTTATTTTGAAAGTAAATACACTTGACCTGCAGGACATTCAGGAGTTTACATGCTGAGATCCTTTGGGAAAAGGAAAAACAAAACAAAACAAAACCAACCCCCAACCCACACCATCATCTCATGAGTACTGAGAGAAAGCCTTCACTGTCATAGTCTGGATTTGTCCTGCTGGAAGATTTTTCTCCTGATCATTTTTGGCTGAAAAAAAAAAATCTTTATAGAGGGTATCCCACTAGCAACTGAATACTCATGCGTGTTTGAGGACTTAAATATGGTATTTGAGTCTGTTCATTGCCAGCTTAAGACTGGAAATCCTCATCATACTTGGCCCATTAAGAGACTAGGAAAAACACAAAATATTAGCTGACCGTAATTAATCTCCTCATAAAGGGTCGATGCTTGGGTTTCATTCTACATTGTCAAGAATATCCAGATACTTTAATTTTTCTCTGTGTCCTCTCTAGACAGGGCAGTAAAGATAAGTATCTTGCTTCCCTTCATGGTCTAAAAGTATGGTACATCTTCCAAGAACTCAATGAAAAAGAATGTCAGGCTTCTAGCCATCCACACCATCTATATTCTATAATTAGTGTTTTTCTCTAGTTTCGTTATTGCCTATATATCCATCATCCATTAACCCATTTTTTTAAAAATTTTCCAAGATGCAGATGTTAATACACTTTAGTCCTACATATGTCAGCATGCAGATCCTTCACGCAGATCTCTGTCAGCCAGTGTTGAAATGGAGATAGTTTTGATGCAGAGTCCCTGGTTGATGGAGAGTCCCTGGTTCTACTTTGTTGGTGTTGAGATTAAATTGGACAGATTTTTTTTCTATTTTCCCCCAAAGAGTACTCATGTGATTTTTTAAAAAAATGTTTTGCTTGTAAGTCACTTTTCTTCTCTTTGAACGAGAGCAAGATGTTTATCCATCCTCTTGTTTCCCATTCGGAGATGGTAGCACTCAGGAATGGTGATGGACACGTTGAGATCTGAGGCAAAAGATGACTGGAATAGGAGCCAGTTTATGAGCTCTCTGGCCTGCACCTGCTGTGTTCGAAGTCCAGGTTACATGTGGCAGTTCTTGCGAATGGGCATCTTTCCCATGCCAGCACCAAAGTTTTCTAATTGAGCATTTAAGATTTGGGTTTCTGGGAAGCAGCTCCCAGTTGGCATTCAGGCTCTTTCTGTGCAGTAGAAAGCCCCGGTTGGCATTTCACCTCTTCATGTCCTTTGCACCAGTCACTCCACTGTCCAAGGCAGCAGTATTTCCAAGTGAGCCGTCTTTTTGTGCAAGTATGTGTGGTGTGTTTTGTGTTAGTGTGTGTGGTGTTTGTGTGTTTAAGTGAGTGGTGTCTTGTGTGCCGTTCTTAATTCTGGTTTCCTAGAAGGCAGTCGGGTGGAAGGCTGAGTTTAAGGATTTTTTTCTTAACTTCTGTTCACTTAGTTGATCAATTGCTTGGATGTCATTTAAATTCTTCATTCTATGCAGGTGCTGATGCTTTAATACTTGGTGGAATAACAGGTGCAATGCAGGTGCAGTTAGCAGACCTCTAGGCCCGTATTTGCTTAGCCTCACAGTTCATGTGGGATGCTGACAGAGAGCAAAGGGCAGGGATTAGCGCCTGCCTCTCTGGGAGCCAGTCTCCTGCACAGGCTCAGAGGAATGGGGCAGGTGTCCTTCATCTTCCTAAAGATGCTGAAGCAGAGGGGCACTTCAAGTTCCCAGAAAGGAACTCCACTTGGATCACTGATTTCATGTGAGTTCTGCAGAGACGGCAAACTTTAGAAGTGACCCGTATCCTTCCGAAAGACCTACTTTAGCTGCAGGAAGCTGGAACAGCGCTGGGAAGTCCACATACCTCTGTGGGTATGGGCAGAGTTGAAGATACATGCCAGCTAAGCCTGAGAGCAGGAGTGTAGTGCATGCACCTGTTACCTGCCTCTTAGGTTCACAAGTAGGCATGCTAGATTATTTCCAAGGGAACTGAAAGAGTTGACTTTTCCTGGCCCCCTCCCTTACTCTCCATGTCCCCCATTCCCTTCTGTCCTCGAGTCAGTGGCTGTTAGCATCCACCAAGTCCTATCCTCCAAGACATTGGTGAGATCTTGACTTCAAAGTCCTCAGTGAGGTCGAGGCACTGGATGCAAACCGCTTCATTGGTACTTGCCTTGTCTTTGCTTTCTGGAGTTTGCTGTCAGGTAAAGCATGTGGGGGTTTTATTTTTATATTTTTGTGTGTGTGTGCAGTGTCTGCCCCAAGCAAGTCCCTTGGGAGGAGGAGGCGGCGACTGGCTCGAAACAGGTTTACCATCGATTCCGATGCCGTCTCGGCAAGCAGCCCGGAGAAAGAGTCCCAGCAGCCCCCCGGCGGCAGCGGGGACACTGACCGCTGGGTAGAGGAGCAGTTTGACCTTGCTCAGTATGAGGAGCAGGATGACATCAAGGAGACAGACATCCTGAGTGATGATGACGAGTTCTGTGAGTCGGTGAAGGGCGCCTCCGTGGACGGAGACCTGCCCGAGCGGCTTCAAGCTGCCTGCATCGGTCAGCGGGAGAGAGGCCGGAAAACACTGGACAGCCACGCATCCCGCATGGCTCAGCTCAAGAAGCAGGCTGCCCTGTCGGGCAGTGGTGGAGCGCTGGAGAGCGCCAGCGACGAGGTCATCTGGGTTAGACGCGAAGACTTTGCCCCGTCCAGGAAGCTCAACACTGAGATCTGACCACAGCCAGCCCGCAGAGAATGCGTGTAGATAACTCCTGCCTGTCCCCTGTTCTGTCGGCCAGGATGTCCCCGTAGGTCGCACTCTTGCACACACGGTTTTGGCAGCTGACCTGGTTCCTAAGCCATGTAGCCACCCAACTGTCATTTTTTTGGAAGAAAGAAAAACAAAATGGAAGGAATTATTCTGATTCCCCCATAAGCTTGAGTCGGACCTTCTGTATGTTGCCAAGGGCTTTTATTTATTCTGAATGAATCAGGGCCTGAAGAATGGAAAGAGAATAGATCCTATAGCACTGGAAAGCAAGCATCTCACCTCCCCTCCCCCCAGAGTGGAAGCATGTACAACAGGAATCCTGACAGGGGGAGTCCCACACACACAGACACACAAGTAGAGCCTTCTGGGCTGGAAGCCGCTTCCCAACACGCAAGGAAACACAGCAGAACGTCTGTACAGCTTGCAGGGTTCCGTTCCCCTTCCGTCTTCGATGTCTGCAGATCTCTGTGTATTTTTAAGGATGTGTGCTGAGAGGGTGGCCATTTCTATTTCGATGAACTTTGTTTTCTTTTGTGGGTTTTTTTTTTCCCTGTTTTGGTCTATGGCTGGTGTTCATCTATGTCAGTGTTTGGAAGCTCTGATTTTGCATAGAATTATAAAGATGCCAAACTCTTTGAAAAGAGATTCAAATGTATCACTCGAGAGAGAGAAAGAGAAACACTATTTTTTTGTATTTTTACCTGAGATGCAGGGGCACAAATAGATGAGAGTTTTACAGTGTTAGTGTAATTCTGAGTCTAGAAAAACAAGGATATAATCTTTCACAGGGAGAGTGAGGCATGGTGATATTATGTTTATATACAAAAGGCCATTAAGAAGCTCATGGTAAGGATACACTTCTAAGAAGGAGGTTTTTTTTTTTTTCTTTTAAAAAATGTTTGAATCTGCATTTGAGATGGGAGTTTGGTTGGATTGAGCCTGATACTCGAGTGGGCAGTGCGTGAGCCTGTTGCACCTGCCGGGAGGGAGCCTTGCTCACATGGGGTTGCCATGGCGATCACTGGCTTTCCCATCAGACTTGCATCTCCATCCATAGATGACCTACTCTTTCCCTGACAGTCCACAACCAAACCTCCTAACACAGTAACCTCAGAACCATCACTTGCGTTTTACACTTTCTTCATGCCAACAAAACAGGGTAAACACGCGAATAAACCGAACATTCTAAACAGCGATCCAAACAGGAAGAACAAAAACAAGTTATAGCACTTTCAAAAAAAAATTTTTTTTTAAGGTTTATAGCTTTCCTCCCCTCCTGCCCCATTTCACAATGCCCACTTCCTAAGAAGGGTTTAAATACTATGAATTTTTTTCTTTTTTGGGGAAATTATCTATTTGGTGTTTGACACATCAGTAGGTACTTTAAAGACCTGAATTTTATAGTAGCTTTAGGAGTTATATTTTATAAAAATCAGTTATGACTTTATATTTCCAGACAATAGAGTTCAGAACATCACGCTCTTGTGCCCCTGCTCGCTTCTCCTGCTCTCCCACCCTACTTCCCTTCCCTTTTGGGTTTCCAGGGCTATGAGCTTGATCTTTTGAAAGTTTTATTCTATTAAATTTTTGCTATATATCTTCTGGTTTTCTTAAAGAGCTTTAGAATGGTTTCTATACCCTTTGTATCACTGCATTGTTCCATATTTCATCTCCGGTTCGACTGTGTCTGGACGGAAAGCGGAAGCAGAGGCTTCTGGTTGTCGCATTTGCTGGTCCCCGTGCAACGCGTCCATTGGAAAATACTGGAAAGTCTGGTGCTTGGAGAGGGTGCCATTGTCTCTTGTACATAAGGTCACGACGTGTCTATGTCAAAAGTTCTTATATATTTCTTTTATAAGCTGAAAGAAGGTCTATTTTTATGTTTTTAGGTCTATGAATGGAACGTTGTAAATGCCTGTCAAACAATAAAACTATTGAAAAGTATCTAGATGGTCCCATGCATTTGTGGACAGGAGGATGAGTGTGAATTGTCAGTGGGAGAAAATTTGGGAAATACTTTTTTTTTTTCTGACTGTCATGATCATCAAAGGAAAGCTCTTTTGGTAAAACTTGAAGCTTTGAACTAAACATAAAAACTATGACTGCTCAACATTTTGGATTTTTTTTACTTTTGCTTTCATTGTAATATGATAAGCTGAGAAAGGGAGACCAGGGGCTTTTTCTACTGGTTCGCTTTCCACGTGCTTACAGAAGCCCCGGCAAGGGCGCCAAACTGGGAGCCCGGATCTCAATCTGGGGCTTCCACAGTGGGGCCAAAGAACGAAATACTTGAGCCACCATCTCCCATTGGTGGGAATGTTAGAAGTGTAAACACGGGCTCAAGCCAGATACTCAGGTATGGAAAAATTAAACTAAAAGGTAAGTTGGGTATGAAATAAATTTGGTGTTAAATACATCCTGAAATCCACAGTTTTTTCATGATCTGTTTTCCATGTGCTTGTCTTGGTTAAACGTCTTATATATAAAATGTATGAGGTAACAGTTACAGTGTTGGGCCTGGTGCAGTGGCCTAGCGGCTAAAGTCTCCACCTTTAGCACTGGGATCCCATATGGGCACTAATTTTAATCCCAGCAGCTCCACTTCCCATCCATCTCCCTGCTTGTGGCGTGGGAAAGCAGTTGAGGATGACCCAAAGCCTTGGGATCCTGCACCCATGTGGGAGACCTGGAGTAAGTTCCTGGCTCCTGGCTTCAGATCGGTGCAGCACCGGCCATTGTGACCATTTGGGGAGTGAATCATCGGACGGAAGATCTTCCTCTCTGTCTCTCTCTCTCTCCTCCTCTCTGTATATCTGACTTTGCAATAAAAATAAATAAATCTTAAAAAAAGAATTAGTGTCATCATCTCCCTAAGCTTGTCTGAAAGTCGGTCAGTGTTAGAAGAAGGAGGATCCTGCTCACAGATGATCCTTGGTTTACAGTGGGTGGCTCCCACTACTCGCATTCTAAGTGGAATGTCTCGTCTGCTGGAAATGGCCTCAAGGCCCTACTCCGAGAGCCAGCGTTGGCAGCACGGCAGCTGTGGAGCGTGGCTGGTGACTCGGGGTTGACTGGAGCTGCGGTCACAGCTGTTACTCAGCGTCTTAAGATTGTCTTAAACAACACCATCCCAAGGTGTTTGACAGTGTAAGCTTTTGCACCATCGTAATGCTGAAAAATTCCAACTACAGCTCCTGTGTTTAAACCTTTGCAATTGCGAATGTGTAATTCTTTCAACACTGAATATGCGTGCCACTGCTAGGTGACTGCTCTGTTGACTATGTGGAAGTTAAAAATCCTGCCTCGGCATGACCCTGAACACACTTTGTTTTCTTGATTCTGCCTGCTCTACTCCTGCGCCATATTACCCGCCCATGCCAGTGGAGCACACTGGTGCTAAACCTCATTCACACATGGTGGAATTTATTGTGGTCTCCTATATCCAGAGTCCTGGCCTTAATATTTTAAATGCCACAGCATGCAGTCCCTCAGAAGAGTTTGTTTTGAACATGCCTTGTAGGCAGTTTGAGCCAAAGTTGGTTCTTTCAGGCAGTTATGCCTCGATGGGGTTGCTGTCGTCTTTGTCGGAGCCTGATCCTCTGTCACTTCAGGATTTAACCCCCCTTTTAGGAAATCGTCTGGCTGACTCTCAAGAACTTTTTGGCTTCTGAATTTAGTACACGCTATCAGAAGTTGAGTATGACCTCTTTCCTGTTACACGCGGCATTAAGCTTGTGTTTTCTTCCCGTTGTTTAAAGGCTTGTTTATCTTTTACTTGAAAAAGAGAGAGAGGAGAGCTCTTCCATCTGCTAGTTCATTCCACCAATGGCTGCTAGGAGAGCTCAGCCAGTCCCAAGCTGGGATCCAGGAGCCTCTTCTGGGTCTCCCACGTGGGCGCAGGGGCGCAAGGACATGAGCCATCCTCCTCTGCTTTCCCAGGCCATATGCAAGGAGCTGGATGGGAAGTGGAGCAGCCGGGATCAGAATTGGGACCCATATGATTGAGGGTTAGCCTGATAAACCACCACACAAGCCCTCTTTCCCCATATTTTTAAGAGAAATATTAACATGTCCTTTTTGATTGGTTGAGTACATGTATTGGTTTATACATGTGTTTATATTGTTAATACATGTACTATTTTTGTTAGCCTGATTTTGTTTAATACTACACTTACATTCAAGTTCCTGCGGCCTCAGTTCCAACCAGCTCCCTGCTCGTGTGCTTGGAGAAGGAGCACAGTTGGCTCAGTGCTTGGGCTCTTGCCAGTCACGTGGGTGACCCAAATGAAGCCCCCACACCACTTTCTTTTCTCCCTGTTTCCCTCTCTTCCCCTTCTCGATGTGGCTCTGCCTTTCCAATAAATCCTTATTTTAAAAAATAAAGTGAACATTTAGGTTCCTATTTATGTGAGATGGTTCACCTGCTTCCGTATAACCAAAACAGCAACATGTAATACATGGTCTGAAAAGATTGGGATGCCCATTTCTCACCTGTAGAGTGCCACACTCCTGGTGGGCTTCTGGTGAGCAGGCAGGCTCCCCCATCCTGTCTGGGTCCTTCACTTTGTCTCAGGGATGCTGCAGCTTTGCCACGGGAAACTGGCTGTTTGGCCTGAGATTCCTTGGGCCACATAGGTTTGGTGAGCTGGGTGTGCTCCATCCACAATTTTGTTGGGAGTGTTTGATGCTTAGTCCAACTGGAGGCGGGGGTAGGGGTTAATATTTTCAGTGACAGGAGTTGAATATCCATGCATTCCATGCTTCCGGTCTTCTGAGATGTCCCATGTTGCCCCCGTACCCTGCGTGCTTGTTATTTTTTGTGCCTGCAGATTTAAATGAAAGTTGAATATTCTGATAGTGATAGTCAGTTGATCACAGACATGTTTGTCCAAACCATTCCTCCTCCCAATATTTCCATATATAATCAAGATAATGATTTTTTTTTAAAAAAATAAGCATCATAGACTTACTAGTGAAAATAAGGTTTAGGGCCTGGCATGGCACAAGCAGTGTCAGTATCCTGTGCCAGGTGCTGGTTGGAATCCCAGGTGCTCTGCTTATGATCTGGCTCTGTACTACTGCACCTGAGAAAGCAATGAAGGATGGGCAAGGTGCTTGGGCCTTAGCCACTCCTGCGGGAGACCAGCATGGAATTTCTGACTCCGGCCTAGCCCATCCAGTTGTCACAACCATTTGGGGAGCAGAAGAAAGATGCTCTCTTTGCCTTTCTCTCGTGCCCTCTGTTCCTTGTCCTTCTTCCTTGCAGATAAATAAATCATGAAAGCAGGCTTAAATGAGAATCAGTAATGATTGACCAGGTATGCTGCTGGAGCCGTCTCTGGCTGGAGCTAACCATACTCTAACTCAAGCGGATGAGAAAGTGGCAGAGCTGGATACAAGGTCACAGTGGGGATGGGTGGTTGGGACAAAGTTTTGAAGTGTCTTCATGCATAGAAGCTATTGCACAACAAGATTGTTTCTGACAAACCAAGGAAAGAGGTAGGACCAGCACTGTAGCATAGTAGGCTAAGCTTCCTAAACACGTGCTGGCTCATGTCCCAGCTGCTTCATTTTCCATCCAGCTCTTATGGCCTGGGGAAGCAGCGGGAGGTGACCCAAGGCCTTAGTCCCCCACACCCACAAGGGCGACCTGGAAGAAGCTCCTGGCTCCTGGCGTCAGATCAGCACAGCTCTAGCCATTGAGGTCATTTGGGGAGTGAACCGACAGATGGAAGATTTCTTCTCCCTGTAACTTTGCCTTTCAAATAAAAATAAATTTTAAAAAAAAGGGAAAAATGGTGGGTTTTTACGAACTTATTAAACCTTGGAATTTTTGCTAAGTCTCCCACTGGTGGGAGAAGGTGACTCAGGCATAGTAGAGTCAGGATCTTTCTTTTTTTTTTTTTTAGATATATTTTTATTATTATTTTTTTTATTGGAAAGGCGGATATACAGAGAGGAGAGACAGAGACAGAGGGGAAGATCTTCTGTCCGATGATTTACTCCCCAAGTGAGCGCAACGGGCCGATACTATGCCGATCCGAAGCCAGGAGCCTCTTCCGGGTCTCCCACGCGGGTGCAGGTTCCCAAAGCTTTGGGCTGTCCTTGACTGCTTTCCCAGGCCACAGGCAGGGAGCTGGAAGGGAAGTGGGGCTGCCGGGATTAGAACCGGCGGCCATATGGGATCCCGGGCGTGCAAGGCGAGGACCTTTAACCACTTGCGCCACCGCGCCGGGCCCCGAGAGTCAGGATCTTAAACCCTGTGTGTGTGTGTGTCTTCCCGAGGACGCAAACAGTGGAAGGGGAATCCACATCCAGGTGTCCTGTGTCAGATGTTCTGCCTCGTAATGTTCTTGGGTCAGGTGCAGGGCGTCTTCCTTCCACACGCTTCATGCTCCCACGTTATAGAAGAGTGAGACACATGTTGGCGGTCCTGACTCCTATCCGGGATAAGCAGCTCTGCGAGAGCAAACAGGTGAACGAAGGCTCACTCCAGGCAAAGCCTGCTTGCAGAGCCTCTAGCTGGCGATCATTGCTTTCGGTTTGAAGACAACCTGGTCAGGTTGTTGGGCGAGAAATCATGAAGCTTGGTTAGAGAAGATGGCTGAGTTTCAGCGTGCAATTCCAAAGGAGAACTGAGTGGTGCCTAACTCATTTACACTGATCTGCACATCAGGCTGTGGTTGTGTGAGAAAAACTAGAGGAATTGATGAATTCTGGCTCAAAGTAGGATCTACTCGGGAAAACTAGAGCTAATAAAAACATTTTCCTTTTTTTCCTTCCAGTGAAATCTTTCGTATTGATTGACTGTGCAATAACTGGGGCCACCACAGTTAGCCATGTCTTGTGGTGCTGGCTGGCCCACTCAAATCTTAGGGGGAAAAAAGACTAACGGTGACTGAATGCAGAGATTTCTTTCATAGTGGGAGCTTTATGGTCATAGA